CCAAAGCAATCTACAGATTCAATGCAATCCCTATCAGTAGCATTTTTCACATAACTAGAACAAATAATCCTAAAACTTGTATGAAACCACAGAATACCCCCCCATAGCCAAAGCAATCGAGAAAAAACAAAGCAGGAAGTATCACACTCTCAGATTTCAAACTATACTACAAAGCCTTAGTAATCAGAACTGTATGGTACTGGGACAAAACCAGACACGTAGAACAATGGAACAGAATAGAGAGCCCAGAAATAAACCCACACTTACATGGTCAGTTAATCTATGATAAAAGAGACAAGTATATACAATGGGGAAAAGACGGTCTCTTCAACAAATGGTGCTGGGAAAACCAAACAGCTACATGCAAAAGAATGAAACTGGACCAGTTTTTTTACACTATATACAAAAATAAACTCAAAATGGGTTAAAGACCTAAATGTATGAACTGAAGTCATAAAATGCCTCAAAGAAAACATAGACAGTAAACTCTTGAACATTGGTCCTAGAAATATTTATTTTTGGCTCTGTCTCCTCAGGCAATGAGAACAAATGCAAAAATAAATAATTGGGACTATATCAAATTAAAAAGCTTTTGCACAATGAAGGAAACTGTACAAAATAAATAGGGAACCTACTGAATAGAAGGAAATATTTGCAAATAATATATTTGATAAAGGGTTAATATCCAAAATTTATAAAGAATTCATACAACTCAACATCAAAAATAAAACAGTACAATTAAAAAATGGGCAGGGGACCTGAATAGACATTTTTCCAAGACATATAGGTGGCCAACAGGCATATGAAAAGGTGCCAATATCACTAATCATCAGGGCAATGCAAATAAAAGACACAGATTATTACTTCACACCTGCCAGAATGGATAGTATCAACAAGACAAGAAATAACAAGTGTTGGAGAAGACATGGAGAAAAGGGAACCCTCCTACACTGTAAATTGGTGCAGCCACTATGAAAATTCTTCAAAAAATTATAAAATAGAAATACCATACCACTTAGCAATTCCACTTCTGGGTATTTATCCAAAGAAAACAAAAACACTAATCCAAAAAGAATAGCAAAATATAGAAGTATCCATCAATAGATGAATGGATAAAGATGTGATACATACATATGTGTGTATATATATCAGAGAAAGACAAATAACATATGATCTCACTTATATGTGGAATCTAAAAAACAAAATAAATGAACAAAACAGAAACATATTCATAAATACAGAGAACAAACAGGTGGTTGCTGGAGCAAAGGGGGGACGGGGCAAGTGGCAAAATAGGTGAAGAGCATTAAGAGGTACAAACTTCCAGTTATAACACAAGTCATGGGAATGTAAAGTACAACATAGGGCATGTAGTCAACAATATTGTAATAACTTTGATGACAGATGGTAACTACACTTTTATCATGGTGATCATTTCATAATGTATATAAATGTTGAATCACTATGTTTTGCACCTGAAACTAATATAATATTGTATGTCAACTATACTTCAATATATAAATAAATAAGGGAAGATTGAGTTTCTAAATTTCTGGAGGAATTGGTTACAGAGTAGCATAGTAATTTGCCTGCCTAATAACATACATGTATTCTTCACTTTTAATATATTTTTCTTATATGAGAGAATAAGTGAAATTTTATAACTAGTTGTGAATGTTTTGGGCCATTGCTTGCCACCAATAATGTTGAGGAGGACTATAAAAATGAAAGAGAAGAAAATGCTAATTCAAAAATGTGTCTGCAATACTGACTCTAAATATTGTTCAAAGCTTATAGGTAAGGAGAAAGTCTTTATCTAACGATGAAAACCGCACAAAAATGCTTAAGATTTCTAAACTGAGTTAAGATTCAAACTATAAAATGATATAAAATTTATATTTTGGAATAGGATGAGATGTTTCTAATTTTTTCTGGTCTAATGTTTCACTTTTTCAATTCAGTATCTCAAAATATTCGGTCTAAATGCTCAGCTGAATATAATACACAAAATTGTGGTGATTGGCAGTATTGAGGCTATAATAAATAATATACAATATTTATTCTCCTAAAATTTTTTAAAGAAATTTACTCTTCTTTTTATTGAAAATAGTAATCCCTTTCCAAGAAATTGCCTCTATCAATATATTTTGGATATTTTAACTAAAAATTCTAGTTTCCTCCTTATGTCTATTTCAGTAGAAATTCATACAGTTATTTAATATTTTCAAAGTGTTTTCTCATTATCTGTTCTTTCTCTTATTTCCTACTTCTGGAAAATTCTTAGAGTGTGCTTTTTTTAGTTATATTTGAATATATAGTCAAAAAGACTTAGGTATACAATGCAAGCCATTGAAGGTGATCTGTGATAAAGCATGAAAATAAAACTTTCCCAGTTCCAAAATAATTAGCAGAGAAAAGGGGGGGAAGCTAGACCATATGATTTGACCAGAAATACAGTGCTTTCCAGCATGCAATGAGAGAAAGTAACTAGAGATCTCTAAAAAATTAAGATTTCTGACCTAACACTGGATATATTATGTAGTTAAGTCATTTTTGCTCTTTTATTCCTTTAATTCTTCTAAAAACAAGATGGAATTAACATATATACTTTCAGATATGCTTGCCCTTGGACAATGCTAAGGTTAACAGAACACAAAAGTGACCTAAATTTTTAATCCTATAAAGTTGTCTTCTCAATAATACAGATTTAATGGGGTTAGTTTAATATAAAAACAGAAAAATGAGTACCTCGGGGAAATCCTTTTGGACATACTTGTACTGTAAAGGATCTTTTCATTCACTCATCCAGCAAATGACTCTCAACATTGCCTGCTGGTGGTTAAAATATTGACAAAAGGGGATTCAAAGTGTCAAATCTTATGAGGAAGAGAGAAAAGAAACCTTCACCATCAAAAAGTCACATTAAGAATTTTAAAAATTCATTTCTGAAATGTTAATGGTAAAACTAGTACCTTAATATTGATGTCCAAATGCAAGATCCTCCTATAATAATCCTAACAGAACACCCATCTTAGTACCTTGTCTTTTTTTTTTTTTACTTTCCTTTATTCCAGGCTGAAAGAGATCATCCATAAGCTTTATTGACCGAGTTTATTGGCTGTCAGAGGTTGAAATGAAATCTGTGTTCAAAACAAAGTCTGAAACCAGAATATACAGTACCTCTATTCTAAATCTAATAATGTAGTTTTGTTGCTGCCCTTCCAATAAAAGAGTAGCACAACTTTTGACTGGTCCTCAGCTGAAGTTGAATAAACAGGCAAGATAAACCAATCAGCCTATCTCGATTTTCATGAATGCATGCATTCATTCATACACATTATTGAATACTTTTTATGTGCATATTATGCTGATCATTTCCAATTCTACACATTTATTCTCAGTCATGGGGATAACTGTATTCAAGATTGGTTTGTTTTGTCTGTACAGTATTCTGAGTATTTTCAATGTAATTCAACGTAAAGGAAGTTTCTGCCTCCTCTCACCTCAACTTTATTCAGGTCTAATTATAACCTACTTAAAATGATCCCCAAAGATGGTGAGAAAATAACAGAATGCAATAGTATAAGTCTAAACTTTTATATAGTTCTTGTAAGAGGATACTTACAATCAGTTCTGATTCATTTGAAGGTGTGGGTACTCTCAGTTGATGTGTTTGTTGTAAAATCCTGTGAATACTGCAGGCGTATATAAAGAACAAACTGCAATAATTTAGACAAGACAACTGCAGTGCATAAAATCGGGCATACTACTGGTTTCTTATTCCTATAACTGTTTTGACATTCTAGGAAAATTAGTACTGGACTTAATTTGTCTAGATTTTATCAGGCATAAAGGAAAATTTTAGATTTCAGGCCATTTATACCAATTCAATAAACTGTCTTCACAGGGAAATGCCAAACCTGATTTCTCTCATCAGGCATACTAAAGCAATCTGCCCCCTCTGTTTCAGTTTTGCATGCAACTCTAAACCTAACAAATAGGCTTTCTGATGGAAGAGATCAGTGACTTTAAATGATACACAATTTTTGTGTCTTTATAAGTCACCTCTCCACACTGAAACATGAAAGCTCCATAAAATAAGTTAATATTTTGCTTTCAGAAAAACAATATTACCTGCCTTCATTATAAGTAAATAGACTTCATATGAGACAATGATTTTTTTCAAATTAAAGAACTAAAATAATCCTATTAAAACCAAACAAAGGTATTTTATGTTCTCACATCTTTATTAAAGTACAAAATCCTGGCTGAATAATAACTCATATTTTTATATCACAAATTTGCCTTTCAGTAACACATAATACACTTAAGGCAGATTTACCTTATAGATAGACTCAACTTCTAAACACCACTACACTGATTTATACAAATAGCAAAAATCACACAGAGGAGCATCTACTGATATCCTTCTTAGTACTTATCTTTAGATTTAAAAACTCCATAGTAAGCAGAATTCCCATAAAATTCCATTTTTTAGACAGGAAACAAACAACTGCTACTATCTCAAAATCGCCTTTATCTGATTTGATTGGATGAAGTTAATATTAATAACATAACCTTTCAATTTCTGGGGAAAACCAATACTTTATATTCACTCCTCAGAGAAGGCTTGATAGCAAGCAAAATGAGGAGCCATTATAAAATCATATTGCTAAGTATTACATTAACTCACAATTCTACTTATATAATTGTATGCATATCACAGCTAACAACTGCTATTTAATATATCCAGATACATCCATAAGTATCCTCTGGCTGCATTAATAACAGGAGGCTATGCAGCACTCAAGATTTCATTCTCTGGTCTTCTGGTTGTTAGTATAAATAGAAGCTTTTGAATCTATTTGGTGATCCCAATTTTGGGGCCTATATCAAAAACCTTCAGGAGACTAGTGGCCTCAGGTGGAAGAATTTGAAGACTGGAAGGCTTACAGTTAAGTTAGAGTTATCGTTAGCAGATCTTAGGGAAATAGGAATGCAGCCAGAATCACTTGATATTTATTAGAAATAAAGATTCATTAAATCATTTCTCCTTCAGAAAAATATCTTTAAAACTTGTATATTTCCAAATGTTCTTTTTTTAAAGAACATATAAAATTAAGATATTTGTGAAAATAAGCCGGTTTCAAGTAAACTTGTTTCTCTTCATTGTTCCCCCTGCAGAAGTGTTCTTCTCAACAAGCACAAATGTACTAGTCTTTAGAGCAAGACAAATTCTTCTGTGCTAAATCTTTTTAATCTTTTCTTTTCATCCTCTGCGAAAAGGTCTTCTTCATTGGTTGTAGGAGATGTAAAATCATAGTCTCTGGAATGCCCATTTACAAAAGTAAATAAGGGATATTTCTCTTTAGAAGAAATTTTCAGCATCTGTAACAGAAAGTACAGAAAAATCCCTTACTGGATGCAAGAGTGCACAGTAGGGCCACATGATGAAATCTAATGTTTTAGTCCTGAATCTCTCTTGTTAGTTTCTCTCATTTACATTTATCCAGTATGACTGTTTCACTGTTCTGGCTAAAAGACAAAAAGTTCATCAGCATTGTAGAGTTTACTTATAGCTAAATACTTGCTTCTCCATTAAGAGTAGACCATCAAAAATTAAGTACATTATCATTCCCATCCTACCTCCCTCAAAGTAAGTCTTCTAATCACCTTCTGATTTAAAGGTTTACTAAAGAACGAAGACTTATCTTCTTTTGGTAGTAATAGACAATAAAACAAAATGGTATCACTGACTATAGTAAAATATTGTGAAAGACTGGTACCATTACACAGAAGAAAAACCATTAAACTGAGTCAGAAGGTTCATTCTAATCTCAATTCTACAACTTACCTTGATGAGACCTTGGACAAAATTACTCTACCTATCATCTACAAAATGCAGCAAGAGATACCCAACTCCTTACCTCAGAGGATTGTTAAATTGACCAAAAACAATAATAAAAAGTTATTTTTAAAAATTTAGTCTTTTCAGAGTCATGTATTTGAAAAAATATTTCTGCAGTAATTTGGTAAACATGAAAAACAGTGTTCTTATACATAGTAATAATCCATACCTTACCTATTACCTTCTTAAAGCTACATAATTCAGAAGTGAAAAAAGTAGTACCTGGAATTTTGTGGGGAGACCAACAACCTTTATAACCTCTATCAATTTCAGATTCGTTAACAATCCAACAACCCATTCTAAACCACTTTAAATCTTTCTGTTAAATAAATTCTATTAAAAAATTAAAAGAATTTTCATTAAAAATGAATAAAATTTTTGAATGACATTTTGATAGAAACAAACTTGTCTATAGATAACAAGGACCTATAAGGATTCTGAAAAGTTTATGTGAATTACAGAGAATGCTGAAAAAATATCAACAGTATTTACACATTATTAATCATGATCAATTAATTATAATTTGTTTCTAAAGGATAATTTCAGGGGTAAAAACTAAATTCTCCCAAATGTCAATATTCAACTGAAGGATCATCAAATTCTTATATATTGCATTTATAGATTCTCTTAAAATGTGGCTAAAATAAATATGTAGCCCTAGCATACAGATACAGTGTTAAACTTAAAATATTTCAATGAGACAGTTAATATGAAATACATTTTTTAAATTGAATGGGAATGAACCATTTAAAAACAAGTACTTAGAAAAATTAGATGTAATGAAAATCATGACCTATAATTCATATTACTCTCCTAAAGTATACATTGCTCAAATTTATTTTATTTACACTCTATAAAATAAAAAAGGGAAGAAAGAAGGAAAAGTGCAGAAAATAAAAATAATGTGATCAAGCCTCTTTCACCTCCAGCCAATGGCTGGAATACAGTTGAAAATTGTTGTCATTTTATGTTCATTTAATGTCACTTGTTAAAGTCCAGTATCTAATGGGCATTGTATCATTTTCAAATCAGCACAACAAATCTAATATTTTCATCTCTTCATCCTTTCTTTCAAGATCAATAAAGAAGTCATTTAGGTTTATTAGTGGGTCATCAACTAAGATTCAAATCTGTGACCCAGGGCAAAATGTCAGAAAGGGGCCCTCTGTTCTTTAATTACAAAATGTACCTACTTTTTGCAAACTCACTCATAGTGTAAGGCCCCCTTATGTGTATTTATTGATTTAGGCTTTGAGAATTACAGTTTTTCTAACTTTTCTTGATTTATTTAAAATATTTTAAAGATTATCAAATGAAAAATATATTAAAGGTTTACGCAAATGAACTGAAACTTATGTCCACACAAAAACTTGTTTTATTCAAAATTGCCAAAACTTGGAAGCAACAAAGATGTCCTTCAGTAGGTGAGTGTATAAATAAATTGGTACATCCAGACAATGGAATATTACTCAGCACTAAAAAGAAATGAGCTATCAAGCCATAAAAAACATGGAGGAACCTTAAGTACATATCACTAAGTGAAAGAAGACAATTTGAAAAGGCTACAAACTGTAAGATTCCAACAATATGATGTTCGGGAAAAGACAAAATTATGGAGATAGTAAAAAGACCAGTGGTTACCAGGGATTAATAGGAAGGGAGAGATAAATAGGTGGAATACAAAAAATTTTTAGGGCAGGAAAACTATTCTGTATGTTACCATAATGTTGGCTACATATCATTATACATCTTTCCAAAATCACAGAATATAAATACCAAGAGTGAACCGTAATGTAAACTATAGACTTTGGGTGATAATAATGATGTGTCCAATGTAGGTTCATCAGTCATAATACATACTGGGGGGATGTCTAGTGGGGGATGCTGATGGGGAAGGTAATATATGGAAACTTTCGGTATTTTTCACTCAATTTTGCTATGAAATTTTAACTGCTCTAAAAAATAAAGCCTATTATATATATATATTAAAGGACAAGTGAGTTGGGCAGTAAGGTAAGTAATAACCTATCAGTACATAAATATGATATGGCAGGGAAGAAATAATTTTAGAACAAAGAAATATGGAATGCCAAAGGAAACTTTAGAAATTATTGAGCTTACTCACATTTTATAAATGGGAAAATTGAGCCCCAAAGTATTTAAATTACTTTCCCAAGATGACTTAACAGCAGCAGCAACAATAAAAAGAGATAAACTAATAAGGAATTATTTGGGTTATTAGGCCTCAATCACTTATCAACATGCCTTTTAAACACTTTTCCTAGCTCATAAGTACCCTATCAAGAATGTTTTTTCAGACTTTTTTTTTTTAAGAATAACCATTGATTTGAAAATTTGATTCTAAAAACTTTTGTCAAAAGTGAAAACTTTAGTTTTCCTTTCTTATATTACAAGTCAAAACTAAGCTTAAAGTCCCTCCATGATGGATAACATAAAATCTACATGAAAAAAAAAATTCTAAACTAGGTTATCTATATGACATAGGGTATTACCAATTGAAATACTATACAAAATAAGAGATAAAAGTAATTTAGTAACGGGATATTTATTATATAATGTTAAAGGAAAAAACAGGATATAAAGCTATATCTAAAATTTAATCTCAATTATGTTAAAATCATTTTAAATAAGTATTTTCAAAAGACTAGAAAGATACACAATAAAATATTAAGTTATCTATGAATGAAAGACTTAGTGGTGATTTTTTTGTTATACTTCTAATTTCCAAACTTTCTAACATGTATATCTTGATAGTTAGGAGAAAACAATTTTTTAAAAAAATTTAAGATAACTGTTTTACTATTTCATAGTTGCTTATCAAAAGGTGATTCAGTGGTTTGCTCAACAATAATTTTAGAATAGGCAAGTCCTCTGTTGTATTTTAATAACATAATCAAAGATACACTAAAGCAGCTTTATTATCTAAAAGGCAAATCATTTTTCAGGAGGCCAAATAATTTATCACATTTTTCCTATGTGCTACGTTGACAGGTTTCAAAATCTACAAAGGAAAAAGCTGGAGGACAGAAGTTAAACAATTTCTTCCTTCTTAATGCTCATAGGTGTAAGGAAGAACAGAAATAGAACCAGGTGATGACCTCTTCTCCCCAGGTCAAAACCTTTACCTCTAGCCTCCGCCTCCACACATGTAAAATTATACCCAGTACAGAGCAGTCTAGATCTATGTGGTCTATCGTCAACATTATGTCCACAGTGGAGCTACTTTTTATGTAGTGATTAGGTTCTAAAGTCAGCCCATAATGTGAAAATCAAATACAATCAAAATCAGTATAGTCAAAATTATCTTCAAAAGGCCTTTAAATTGTTTAAAGGGGTTATGTATAGTCTTGTGTGTACAACCCTATTCTGTAACATGTATAAATGTACAACACACTACAGTCTATATTAGAGTATGTAATAAAGAGCACACATGGTTAAATACATTCCTGTTTTATTGCAAGAGCTCATGTAGTTGAACTGAAGTAAGTTAAAGGTACATGTGATACTCATTCCTGTCTTCTCTCTGCTCAATTACTGTAACCCAACTTTTACCCCTCGCTGTACTGAAAATACTTTCTTCTGGTCCTGAAATAAAAAAGGCTTTTATTAGTTCCTATTCTCTTGATATTTTTCCAGCAATCAATACTGCTAAGCATTACTTTCTTAAAATATTCACTTCCTTTGATTTCTGTAATTTTGCTTTCCTGTTTCTCCTCCTATTTTTTAACTATTTCTTCTCTATCTCCTTCATTGACTCCACTTATTCCTACATCCCAAAATGCAGGTATTAATCAATTTATTGATCCTTTATCTTCTTTATATATTCTATATTCTCAAAAATATTATCTGGGGCACCTGGATGGCTCAGTCGTTAAGCATCTGCCTTCGGCTCAGGTCAGGATCGCAGGATCCTGGGATCAAGTCCCACATTGGGCTCCCTGCTCAGCGGAGCCTGCCACTCCCACTGCTTGTGTGCTCTCTCTCTCAAATAAATAAATAAAATCTTTTAGTATTATCTACTCTCAGTTTCAGCCATTCCTCTGTTAGGCTTTGTTATTATACATAATTTACAGTTGAGGGGTTAGGTGACTTGTGCAAGTTCACACAGCTAGTAACTCACAGAGCCAGGATTTAAACTTAAGCAGTCCGGTTCTGTTACACCACTAAACTATACCGCCTCCTACAGTAAGTAGAGGCATGCTGCAGTAACTACTCAAACTGATGATCATTTCTGCCTCCCAAAATTAGCTCCCTTCCAGAATTCTCCAGGTTTCTATCATTGATAACATCATCTTTATTAATTAGGAATGATTTTTGTGCCAACTGACAAAAAGTAAGATAAAATACAACAACGGCTTTAGGTACCAGGAATTGTTATCACATAACAAAAAGCCCGACATTGCTGGCTTTGGTTAATTGATGTCAGACAGTTCCTACAATTCTCTTGGCCTTTCCCTCA